TATTGCTTTATGAAAAAAGACACAGTTATAATACCACAAATGTTAGAAACACAATATTGTCTGGTTTTACAACGATTATAGAGATTTCTCATTCTTGGTTCAAATTATTCTCCAAATTGTTGAATATAAAGACCACTGCAGGAAATCTCTCAAGCATTCAGAAGCTACACAATGTATTAAATCCCACTGCTGTGTTTTTCCACATAGATTCCACCTCTTGTACCACATACGTGTTGTTTGGATGCTTAATTAATGTTTTTAGATCACTTTGCACATCTGTGGCACCTGACAGTAGTTAGCGCTATTATTACTACAAATATGGGTACTCTGTGCAGTTCCACAATTTAAGGGAAAGGATAAATGAGTGCTACAATATTCAATTGTACTCCCATGTAAAAGAGAATATCTTAGACTCTGAGATGCATGAGTTCAGTAGTCTGAACTAGGAGTGGGTGGAAAACAAATTCTGTTTTGTGAAAAATTTTGAGGTTTCAGAATTTTGTTTAATTCCAACGCTGAATGAAAATGAGTTCTTTTGAAATTTTTGTGAAAAAATACGGAAGACACTCACCTCAGAATAGCCAGTAGTTTGGTGGCTGGGGCACTCACCTGCCACATGGGAGACCAAGGTTCAAGTCCCTCCTCTCCCTGATTCAGAACTGTGGCTTGAACCCAGGTCTCCTGTATCCCAGGTGAGTGCTCTGGTCTAGAGAGTCAATCTCACCTGTTGGAGAGATCTTTCTCTCCTATTTATTTGTATAATTAAATATGAATTGGGCCAGAGAGTGGGTCCCTTCTCTGAATCAGGTAAACCTTCCAGACCAAAGAGCCAGCATTCTTTTGTGGATAAATTCCTGACTAGCTAAACCTAATCTAAACCTTTACCAGAAGTACCGGTAGTTATGAATGAATGTAAAAAGCACAAGTAATATTGTTTTCACTGGGCTTTCTGACTCAAAGGAGGAGGTGGATTTTAATACTTGGAATAGAAGCTACTCCTGAACTCTAATTAATACAGTAAAAATTTAAATGATAAGGAACTGAATTTTTTGGGTCACAAATTCTTATTGCTGATGCATTCCATGTTTTCTGTAATATGCTGTGGAAACAAAATAGCCAAGTGTATTTTCAGGAAACTATGTAAATGAAATTGATGAAGTGTCAACACTTGACTGCTTGTTTAAATTGGATAACATCGGAAAAGCTGTTATAGTATGTTCTGACTGTTACAATATTATTATATACCGTAAGTGTTCATTTGAACAATGAGAATACTGCAGACAAAGCGTGAAGCTTGCAAGATGTTTAAAGCCTTCTCTCTGGTACAGTATGATACAATCTGAAGCAGCAGTTCTTTTAATGGAGTTAATTCTTTCATTCCATCTCTAAAGGGGAAAATACCATACTTTGCATTGTGGGGGTACTTAGTGATTCTCTTAACAGGCGGTTAAATGAAGCAAAGTTTCATACAGCAAAGAAACAAACCAGCTAATGCTCCTAATGTTTAACGTTAAAGGTGAACTGAATTTCAATTGATGAAAATTGCTATATAACAACTAAGTATTATTATTGACTGGGTTAAACAGATTTGAAACTTAAAGAACCCCACCCCCCATACAGTTTCTCTCATCATGCACCTCACAAACAGGTGAATTTCTCTATATCCCCAATGCTTCCCCTTCAGCCCCTCTGACCCTCCCATCACAAACAACAGCCGGGGTTCCAGATACTCCTACATACCCATTCACACCTCTGCAACCAGGGGCATGACCACAGATGTAAGTGGTAAAGGCTGTGTTAGGTGGCAGCATTGGTGGTTGGGCAGTGTCCCGATCTGTGAGGGGCACATGGAAATAGACAATATGGGGTGGAGGGAGCTGGGCCGGCTCCAGGTTTTCTGCTGCCCCAAGCGGCCACAAAAAAAAAAAAAAAAAGCCGCGGCAGCGCAATCGCACCGCTCCACTCTTTGGCGGCAATTCAGCGGCAGGTCCTTCGCTCCAAGAGGGACGGAGGGATCCGCTGCTGAATTGCCACCGAAGAGCCGGACGTGCCACCCCAACAGCGGCCGGAGTGCCACCCCTTAGTATTGGCTGCCCCAAGCACCTGCTTCTTTAGCTGGTGCCTTGAGCTGGCCCTGGGAGGGAGGAATTAGTCAGGAATTCATTAGTCCCTAGAAAAATCCATCTCTTTATAAAAAGGGATCTTTCTTCACAAAAGTCAAAGCATATTTTACCATGACAGCATTTCTGCCCCTTTATATTTTCTAAACATGCACTGGGAAATTCTCATGTGCCAATGACTACACAGATATACAGATCATCTAGACCTGAAATCCAGGAGCAGCGGTACAGATCCACAGATTTTCGGAAGAAAGGCAGATGGCAGTGGCATGGTTATTGGCCATTGGCAGCTCTTACCCATCCCTCAATTTACCATATTTTTATGCAGGTGTAAAATAGGTGCAGTTAGAGCCTAGGATCAAGGACATGTAAATTACAGGATTACAGCAGTTTGATGTGCTTCTTAGTAACTTGTGCATGGAATAGAAACATGGGCAGCTGGTGACCTGGCCGTTGGGGAGGCTATCCCCCAGCCCCTCTCCTTCAGTTCCCCCTTCCCTGCAGGAGCCCAAAGCATGCTGACCATGGGTCCTGGTGTCAGACAGCACGGCCACAGCAGCCCCTACCTGGAGTGCCGGGTGACGCAGACGCAGCGCCCCCAGCCCTGGAGCACCAGGCCGTGCAGTCCGAGTGCCGGGCGGGCAGCGTGGCCCCAGTGCCAGCTGCCCCGAGTCCCCACAGCAGGTTGCCCAGCTCCAGCCAGCCTGGGCCAGGGCAGAGCGCTGGGAACTGCAGGAGGAGGCGTGGGGATGGAGCATGGGCGGGGCCATGCCAGGTTGTTCGGGGACGCATAGCCTCCCCTAGGGTGACCAGACATCCCAATAAAATCGGGACTGTCCCAATATTTAACTCTTTGTCCCGTGTCCTGACCAATGTACGATTGGGATGCCATTTGTCCCAATATTGTGGGGTTGCCAGGCATCTGGTTGGCGCAGGGCTAGCAGGCTCCCTATCTGGCTCCATGGAGCTCCCCGGAAGTGGAGATATCTCCCTCTGGGTCCTAGGTGCAGGGACGGCCAAGGGGGCTCTGCGTGCTGTCCCTTCCATGAGCGCCAGCTCCACAGCTTCCATTGGCTGGGAACCACAGCCAATGGGAGCTGCAGGAGCGGTGTTTGCGGGCGAGGCTCTGTACAGAGCCTCCTGGCCGCGCCTGTGCCTAGGACCCAGAGGGAGATATTGCTACTTCCGGGGAGCTGCCTGAGTTAAGTGCCTCCTGGAGTCCATACCCCACACCCCACCCGTGCCCCAGCCCTGAGTCCCCTCCTGCACCCAAACTCCCTCCTGGAGTCAGCACCCCAAACTCCCTGCCGTGTCCCAACCCCCAGCCCTGAGACACCCCCATTGCGGCAGGGGCCGGACTTGGAGCCGTGCACCCCTGCCCTGTGGCTTGCGGCAGGGGCTGGAGCTGGGGCCATGTGCCCGTGACCTGTGGCTTGTGGTGGGGGCCCGAGCCGGGGCTGTGTGCCCGCGACCTGCGGCTTGCTGTAGGGACTGGAGCCGCGGCCATGCGGACGTGACCTCCAGCTTGCAGCGCCCCCTGCCCCCATGTGTGCCCTCCACCCCCATGGCTCCGGTGGGGGCTGTGAGCCTGTGGCTGTCCCCCCCACATGTCCTGATATTTTACTCTTGTGATCTGGTCACCCTAGCCTCCCCCAGCCTATGATATCCACCACCCATGAGTAGAAATAGTGCAACTAAGATCTGAGCCCTAAGCAAACAACATTTTCCCCAAAGTAAGAGGCATATACTCCACAGCCCACTGCAGTACCAGAAAGATTCCAAAAATATCTGACATGTGTCTGCATCATTCCAGTATCACAAATAGACAACAAAGTACTTTAGACATAAACCAGCATAAAAAGAAAGTTTTTGTTTTGTTTTTAAATACTAAAAACCAAAATATCTTCAGTTATTATTCAAGTGTTGAAAACATGGTAAAAGCTCAATTAATCTCAGATCCTTCAAGCCTATAGCCTGGTTGTTAGGATGCTCACCTGGGAAAGGGGAGATCTGAGTTCAAGCCTCTGCTCCAGAATGCAGATTCAAATCTGGGTCTCCCATATCTGGGCAAATGCCTTAACCACTGGCTAAAGTTATAAAGGGACAGAACATCACATACACGGCTAAAGGTTATAAGGGGACATACACAGTTTGCTGGCCCTGAACAACTTTTCCCCAGCTGAAGCTATCACGTCAAATTTGCAAACAGTTTTTGTCAACCCAAAAATGCAAACAAACTATTTGTCCAAAAAGTTTTGTCCTGCTCCAGTTTCAAATCACAGTACTTTTGCAAGAAGATTGCTACTTGTACGAGGTTCAGAAGTGTCACTGAGAATAAATGTAGAAATTATTTTTCAAATACATTTACAGGGCTTTGTCCTTCATTAGATTTTAGTGTATCATCACCTTTTGGTCTTTGAGTGCTGAATCCCCACAGAATAAATGTATTGAAAACAATTTTTTAAAATTAAATTAAATAAGAACAAGTGAGAAGTGGGCTGAATTTCAAAGGGATATTTTTGTTTTGGGGTCCTGTGTTAGAATAAAGCTGAAAGAATTCTCTACTATTTTTATACCACTGGTATAGGAAAGATTAATATAAATCGTAAAGCCTAAAAGAAGATTTTAGGCCTGTTGTCCCATGCATAATCTAAATCTTTATTAAACTGATGCTCAAACACATATTCTGTCCTAATTCTGTGGTTAGTCTTTAAATATTTACATATTTCCTCTCTAATAAATATTACTCAAGGAAAAGATTTTTTTAAAATGTTGTCGAAGATCAAATAGAGCAACAAGCGGAATTTAAGAAGTAACAGCATACAGAAAAAACCAGGCCAACTCAGCCACGTTGTCTATGACTTCATCCAGCATTCTCACCTGGTACTCCATCTCTCACCCAATATTCAGTGTCTGTTTCACCACCATTTTCGTAAATGTTTGTAACATTGATAGGCTGCAGCAGCTGCATAATCTCCTTCAGGATGGCACGAGCTTTATCACTGCCTGTAAAAGCCAGGCCCATCGGCATGAAGGTACCCGAATCAGACTCCATGACGATGTCAAAGTTGGAGATGTTACCCTGAACACATAAGAAAAGATCATTTTAATATTTATTTGCAGACTATTTTTGTAAGAATCCAATATTTGCCATTAGCGATATGTTACTAACAGAGCATGCAATACCAAAAAATTAAAGAGAATGCAGACAAGAGATGTATATGAACTATATAAAACAAAAAGCCTCATCTCTCATATATGAATTGCTGATAAGGCTCTCCTTTCTGAGGCAACGTAAGACAGAAGGCTTTTACAAAATAGCCAGTCTGGTGGCACGAACTCATTGCACTACTAACTAGTCCTCTTAACACCCCGACTCTTATGAGGCAATTTAGAATTAGTTATATCTGAACTGTCTTGAAGGCACCTAACAGAACACACTCCATCCTCACAAGTTAGAGGTTTTGCTTCTACGCACATGTCTGGGAAATTCATGACTGCATAAGCGTTACAAGAAAAAAAAGTGCTATTGAGCAGTGATTCCCATGAATAATAGACCCATGCTAAATTGACTCACTGGTAACTATGAAAATAATCTCACACAAATATTACCACCAATGAACGTTCAAAACCTGTCACCCTGGTGCCACAGGTTTTCTGAAGTTCAGCAATAGAATGTGCTGTGCATGCTCAATGTGCTATTTTTAATGGCTGTAACTTGGTTCTTTCAAGATCAAAGTATTTCAGATGTGGCAAAAACAGGAGTTCCTAATTCAGGAATAGGCATGCTAAAAGTTTTAAAAGAAAAGTCTTTGAGATGTTTGAACACAAGGAAGTGTCTGAAAAGCAACTTAAATAAAGACTAAGTCACCTCCCCAACTGTTGGACAACAAAATGGCTAAACAAATGAAGATATTTTTGAAAATAATTAACTTCTTGGCTGAGTTGAAAAGCCTGAAAGGTTTCAATCTAGAAAGGTAAAAAAGTTACAACTAACTGGGAACAGGGAATTAGAATGGAAGTGTCCTCTCAGCCCTATCTCCAGTGCAATTGCATAGGTCATGGGTTCTCACCCTGGGGTCACGACAACCCTCCCTTTCCTTATGGCGAGATGAGAAGAAGGACCAGAAAGTGCATTCTGTTGTAATGTGCTAACCGTATTGAAAAGGCTGAAAACCATGGGTATAGATGATAGAATGTGTAAGATGCTAAGCTTTAGATTTCAGGCTGTGTTAGCTGCCAGTGATAGTATGAGAGAGTGTTCAGGACAGCTTTAAAACATTTCAGTCCCCCGGTGCCTGAACACAGATGTACAAGGTGTCACAGTTCCTGGGTAACTGCACCTGTATTCCCCTTCCGCATTCTGCTCCAGGAGTGCCCAATCAGGTCTCAGGCCTCAAGCTATCAGCTGTCTCTAGTCCCACTCCCTTCTGACCAGGGTTTTATGGCTGCACATCCCCCTGTCATACACAGTGATATCCTCAGCAGCTCTCACACGTATCCAGCCCCCTGCTCTTTACTTTCACTGCCAGAACAATGACAGGGTTTTTACAAATGACCACACAGCTCTAAGAAAGCAAAAGACATTTATTCTTAAGGCAAAAGCATCATAGAAAAAACATAAAAAGGATAAAAGGATTTAAATGCTCACTAATCATACCCGGACTCTCCCATCTTCTACATGGGAAGTCTGTTAGGTCAAAGTCTTTCCAATCCTTCTGCAAGGGTTGGAGCCACTCTACAACCAAAGGGCTTGTTTGCTGAGCCAAAAGGAAGGCCCTGAGTCTGTTTAAACTCAGCCTTTTACACCAGAAGTCTTTCTTTGTCCCCCAGCCTCCTGAAAACAGTTAAAATCAGTCCCTCCCTCTCTTCCCCAGCAGAAGAAGCTTCGAAAAGTGGAGAATCTACATAGACAGGATTAATTTGCATTAATCACCTCTTAGTGATCCCAGATCCTGCTGGAACCCCCACCCCACCCACAGTGATCCAAGATAGTACAGGAAACCACTCCCTATTTCCACCCCAAAGTGAGCCAGGAAAACACAATACATTTGTATTGGTACAAAGGGCTATTCTACCAGCTCAAACTGTGTGGTCCATCTCAGTATAATGGCTTTTTGAGACTTTCATGCTTTCTATGTAAAATACAATATGGTCCCCAAAGATACCACATGTGGCTGCAATATCTGTCACACAAGAGTGGCCCAGTTAAAAGACAATATTTGCTACAGTAACCACATTTCTCTCCTGTATTAGGTGTAGGAGGGGAAAATCTGGGTATCATTCATAGCAACAATCTGGCAAATGCTAACTTTTTAATGCTGACCATTGTACCATATTTGGCCTGTAACAGAAGCATTTCAAACACTGGCTCTTGAGCAGCTCCATTAGATGCCTGTAAAGCATTGGTTATGTCTTCAAAACAATAACTCTGCTCAAAACAGTACTCATGTTTAGGGCCCCACCAAATTTACGGTCCATTTTGGTCAATTTCATGATTTCAGCTATTTAAATCTGAATTTTCATGGTGTTATAATTGTAAGGGTCCTGACCCAAAAAGGAGTTGTGGGGGGTCACAAGGTTATTGTAGTAGGGGTGCAGTACAGCTATTCGTACTTCTGCGGTGCTGCTGGCAGCAGCATTGCCTTCAGACCTGGACAGCTGGAGAGCAACCGCTGTTGGCCAGGACTCAGCTCTGAAGGCAGAGCCACCACCAGCATCAGCGTAGAAGTAAGGATGGCATGGTATGGTATTGCCACCCTCACTTCTGCGCTGCTACCTGCAGAGCTGGGCCCTTGGTCAGCAGCTGCCACTCTCTGGCTGCCCAGCTCTGAAGACAGCAGCGCAGAAGTAAAGGGTTGCATGGTATGGTATTGCCACCCCTACTTCTGCACTGCTGCTGGCGGGGCACTGCCTTCAGAGCTGGGACCTGGTTAACAACCACCGTTCTCCGGCCACCCAGCTCTGAAGGCAGCACAGAAATAAGGATGGCAATACCACAACTCCTGTAAAATAACCTTGTGTAACCCTCCTTCCCCCCCGCAACTCCCTTTTGGGTCAGGACCCCCAATTTGAGAAACGTTGATCTCCCCCATGAAATCTGTATAATATAGGGTAAAAGCGCACAAGAACAGATTTCACAGGGCAGACCAGATTTCATGGTCTGTGACGCATTTTTCATGGCTGTGAATTTGGTAGGGTCCTATTCATGTTACAAGGCTTTCTAGTGCAGGAAGAGTGATTGATAGCATGTAAATGAATTGAGACAGACTATTTGTGGTTGATAGAGGGAAGTGTTGGTGTGAATGGAAGAATGAATATGGGGAAAAAGATTATCTGAAAGGCAAAATTAGCCACACCAAGCAAATTTCAAGGTATCAGCAACACTGGTGTGCAGAAAAGACCACTTAACCATTGTAGGAATATTTTATAAGTTGCTGCTAACAGTATGGCATTTTTCAATTGTTTTCTATTTATATAAATGTTCACATATGTTTTCAATATTAAACTGACAAAATGAACCACCCACAGTACACAACACTGCCTTTTTCCTCCTCATTTATATTGTAACTGTTTAATTGTTAGCACATGCTGTAGGGGTATGAAAACAGAATGTCTTTGCACAGTAAAACCAGATTGGGATGGGGGTGGGGAGGAAGAAACAGGCCACAAAGGTTAGAACTGCTCTTTATCCTTGAGAAGACTATCTTTTTAAAGCATTTTGTCCATTAGAATGTAATGAGTAATTGCATATATATGCAAAGTGGATTTAGAAAACAACAACAACTAGGCTCCACAAGAGGTGGTCTGGGCTGATTTCACCACACCAACTTGAGCATTTGTAATAAGATACTAAGGTTCCTATGTATGAGAGAAGAAATATGTTTCATGTAAGACTATCCTTTATTTCCTTTAGATGGTGCAGAGGTAACTGCTGTTTATCAAAACAGGCTAAGACTGCATTTTGTTCTCATAAGTAAACAGTTGAATATAACTGTAGGATTACAGAATAACTGTGGGCTCAGCTGTTCCCTCCACCTCTCCCTGTACTGAAAATTTCATTCATATGCAAGCTCATTAAAAACTCAGATCACTGAGATAATCACTTTTGTCAGGGACCAATGTATTTGCTGCAACTTGCAATAATGCAACATACTTAATGGTATAATTCTCACCATGGTACACAGCACAGAGAATTAAATGGAACACACTGGCTCTTGTTAATGGGAGTTGCCTGCCTAACTCTCTGCACACCAATGACATTTATCCTTTACATTCCTGTGACTTGATCCTGTCCATAGAGTATATTTAGTGCAGGATGAATCTGCCACAAAAGAGGTAACTTCTTTCTGGCTTATTACATCTCTTTCTTACATTGAAACTTTTAAATGCATCAATGTAGAGTTTATCACTTGCATATGCAAATAGCTCAGTGGTTTGAGCATTGGCCTCCTAAACCCAGTGTTGTGAGTTCAATCCTTAAGGGGGCCATTTAGGGAACTAGAGTAAAAATCTATCTGGGAATTAGTCCTGCTTTGAGCAGAGGGTTGGACTAGATGACCTCCTCAGGTCCCTTCCAACCCTAATATTCTATTCTATGAGACTGATCCCTGCCATTATTTTCCCCTCATTTATTTTTAAATATGTATTCCTACCAAACAAAGCTAAAACACATTTTAAGCATATATCCCCTCCTCCCTTTCAACCCATAAGGCAAGCAGCTAAAACTACGAAATCACAGCCAAGTCCTTTCAATCTAAAAAAGGAACCAAAACATCTGGATCTCATGAGGCTATGAAGGTATTGATTCTGTCATAAAGGTAACAAGCCCCACTAAGACCAGGAACTGGGAATCCTAGTCAGCCTGGAAGTCAACTGTGTAGTTAAAAAAAAACCTTAATACTTAACAGGGATGATGCTGCTTTGTCAGGCATGAGACTCAAACCATGTTCCCAAAGTCTCATGACTTATCTACTGAGTCACTGAATTTCCTCTTTTAGAGCTGCAGCACTGGGAAATCCAAACTCCCAGATTAAACAGGGGGCGGTGTGGAGCAAGCTGTTCTAAAAGGCTTTGGCAGCA